GTACTCAACTTTGAAGAAATAGTAGTTTCTGTGATGATGGACTCTTCGGTGAAATTGGATGATAGTTTCTCAGTCTGTCTTGTGGTTGCAGTCTCTTGTGTTTCAGTTGACGTTGGTTTATCAGTACTGTAGAATGATGACGCTGTAGTAACACCTGGCATTGATGTGACACTTGGCCTTTGACCTCCAGAACTCACCTGTGCTTTTGTAGTCGGTAGTGTGCTGGTAACTATGTCAGTGATGCCAGTAACTGATGTTTCCTGTGAACTGGCTTGTGTGTCTCTTTGTACTTTGGTCACTTCACTGCCTATGCTAAATGAGGTCATTGGAGTCACACTGACACCAGAAGAAACAGTAGCCCTTAATGTTACTTCTGATTCGGATGGTTTTACTGTTCTTTTTGTAATGTCGCTTATTGATGTTCCAGGTGATACTGTCCAATGCTCAGAACCTGAATCTGCGGTTGTGAAAATGGAGGTATGTGTTGTTTCTATAACTGATTTTACTGTGCTGAGCCAAGTAGCTGCTGCAGTAGTTCCTGTTGATGTAGTACCAGAAGTCTGGTCATCTGTAATATGTCCAGCATTGCTAGGATGCAATGGACTTGACTCCGTAATGCCACTTAGTGGGGTTACTGTTTGTACATGTTTTGTGCCTGCAGTTACACTTGTGGTTTCCACTGTTGAAATTGCAACTGAAATAGACTCATCTGGTTTGACTGTGCTAATGACTGGAGTAGAGGTTTCATCTTTTGAAGTTGCCTTATGTGTGCCACCAGTGGCAGTTACCTCACTTGTATCTACTATTTGGTCAGGGAGGTCAGTCATCAGTGATGCACTTTGTGTTGAGTACTGACTGAAATATTCAGTGAATGAGGCCATTGTTGTTGTGATAATTTTAATAGCACTGTATAAGGGGGAATCAGTGGTTGCAAGGGATTCATGAGAGGGATGAGTTGTTGTCTCATCTTGTTTCCACCCCTCATGCATAATGGTAGGTTTTGACATTTTTTCCACCTCACCAGTGGCAGGAACAAATTCTTTATCTGTGCCTGTTTGTACTGTTAGTAATGTTTCTTCACTCTCCCATGTAGCTTGATCTGTTGCACTTAAACTTGAAGGTGATGTCACAGTCCCTTCTACTGTTTGAACCCCTGAACCTTCCTCCTTTGGTGTAGACATTGCATCAGTGGAAGAGATGGAAGACATTTGGCTGTCTGTACTCCCTCCCTGACTTATGACTGTACCCTCTGAAGTTTCAGCCAGGATAGGTGTTACAGATGCTGATGATTCAGTCTTACCTAAATCTACAGTTGGTGTTATCTCAGTCTTGTCTGTCTGTTCAGGAGAGGCTGAACCACTAGATACTGAAGGAGCCGCTGTGCTGAAGGCAAATTCTTTTGGGGTTTGGGTCTCTTTCCCTCCATCCACATCTTGAGTGGAGCTCTGTGAGTCACTAGTTGTTGATATTGGTGTTTTCACATCAGCGTCAGCAGAAGAGGGAGTGTACATAGTCTGTAATGTAGA